GTAAATGACCTCAAAATTCGTAAAAATGAAAATAGAAATCATCTTATCGAGAGTATTAAAATTTTTATGCTTTACGGCTCGAGAGGATTATACCTTTTGATTGTAAAAAAAAAATTTATGTGTGGGGGATTGTTTTGCACGTAAAGATATGAATTAAAGAGGAGGGCAGGCCGTACATGTAATTTCAATGAAAGACCAAATGGGCCAAATGAGTCTGTTATGTATTAGGGTTGGAAACCTGTCACCTGGACCTTGATTTTGAAATTATGCTTTTATCCTCTATCCTTGTTGCTTTTTGTTTATTAAAACTACCTTTATTGTATAATATTTATTACGTTCGAGAAAATAATTTATTTTAAAATATTTATCACACTTGTGGTTTCAATTAGTAATAAATATTTTTTTCATGTATATAACTAATAATTATTACTTCAATTTAATGGTTTTTTTAGAGAATTAATATTAAACTAAGGATAATATAATTAATTTACTCAATAATATATTGTAACTTAGACAAATTTAATGATTTTCTTAACAGACGTGAAATTTCAAATGTAATAGATATTATGGAATAGAGATAGTAACAAGTTTTTTTATTCAACAAATTACTATCTCCGTTCCATAATACTTGTCACATTTGAGAAAATAGTTTGTTCCAAAATACTTGCACATTTGTGGTTTCAAGGAGTAATAAATATATTTTTTTTCATGTTTGTAATAAATATATTTTTTTTCATGTTTTACTCTTTGTATATGACCAAATAAATTAATTACTTCAATTTAACGGTTTTCCTTAGAGAATTAGTATTAAATTAATAATATAGTTAATTTATTTAATAATTTATTGTAACTTAGACAAATTTAATGATTTTTTTAAAAGACGTGAAATTTCAAATGTAACAAGTATTATAAAACAGAGATAGTACAACTTTGATGTTTGTATTGTTTTAAATAATAACATTAATGCATTAGGTCACTAAGATTTTTCGAAAAACTGATTTAATCTTAATGTGGGTAAATTGGTTTAAAAATACCTAAATTTATAGTAACGTTAACGGTATTTAAGTTAACATTTTTTTTTTGGCCGAACACATGAAATTCCCCTTGAATTTTTTCATTTTAACCATTTGGCAATTTCAACTTTGCGGGGACCTAATGTGTTCCTGAACTTTTAAATTTTGTAACTATTATATCCCCGCAAGCTGTAAAGATAGCATGCGAAACCAAATATGAAATGTAGCGTAATCACCTGATTAAAAGTTCAGCATGGCAAAAACAAAGTCGTTTTTCCCTCTATTCCAAAGCGTCACTTTTCCTTTTCAATCTCTCTCTTCATTTTTCCGTCTCTACTCCTCTCCTTTCAATATATTTCTTTGTTTTTCTCTCATTTTCAATCTGTTAATGGATATCTCTTTAATTGTATTTCTTCTTCTTCCTTCTGACCTAATAAATACATGCATCAATTATTTTCACATCATCGTATTTAAACCGATAACTCTTTAATTGTATTTCTTTCTTCACTATACTTATTATAGCCAATAATTTCACTTAATTAAAATCTGAGATATATTACCTTCTTTACTCAATTAATTAATGTTATCCATTCGAACAAGATTCCTAATATATTGTGTACTATTGTGGTGGCCAAATCCATTAAACTATTCTCTGGAGATATTAAAATAATATGGGCAAACTCAGCACCTCCCCATGGTGCCATACACAGTCGATAAAGTATGAGGAGAGGGACCAAAAAGAGAATGTGTCACGAAATCAGGCGACGGATAAAAAGCAGGATATTTTGGGTCAATCAGAAGAAAAGTTGGACCGAGAAGAAAGAGATCGCCGAAGAAATAGGAAAGTAAGACGAGAGAGTTCGGTCGTGTGGTAGGCAAAATTAAGACACAAATTGCATGATATACAGAGGAAAAAAATAAATAAAAATGGAGGGGACCGGCTGTGCACAATCAAAGAAAGGGAGAAAAATATTAGGTTGGGTTGATTAGGTTGATTAAGGTCCGATTTGGCCCAAATCATGAATTTTTTAGCCACAACTCCCACATAACAAATAAAAAAAAAAATCCCCAAACGAACTCCCCGCCGACACCCCCCCCCGACCTTAATTTAGGAGCATCCATATCAAACCCGCCTCCGATGACCGACCTTCCCATTACCCTCCACCAAACCAAGCCTTAACTGAGCACCCCGGGAACACTTTCGGCTCACGGCGACTCAACTCTCAAATTTTCCACCGTTGGAAGATACTAAACATAAGGGACCAATTTTGTCAGAAAGCAAAAATGGATTCAAAAATTTTCCCCGCTCCCCGGTCCCGGGCAATGATACGGCCTCCCAGCTCTCCCAATCAATATCTGACACAATTGGCAAATCAAAACAAAATCAAAATGGATATTTAAGGGCCCCCGCAGAAAAAAACCGTCGGCCATCGGTCACATTTCCATTTTCTACGATTTTTACCCCCTCCAGGGGCATTTCGTCCAAAAAATCGCCTTTTTCCTTTTCAATCTCTCTCTTCATTTTTCCGTCTCTACTCCTCTCCTTTCAATATATTTCTTTGTTTTTCTCTCATTTTCAATCTGTTAATGGATATCTCTTTAATTGTATTTCTTCTTCTTCTTTTCAATTTTCACTTCTTTTTCTGAATTTCTTTACAATAAAGTTTCTGAAGTTTTGATTTTGGATCCTTAAAATCTCTAAAATAAAAAATTCAAAACTCAGCACCTCCCCCATTGTGCTACACAGATCGAAAGTGGAGAGGGACAGAATGGCAGAGAGGCGACGGTGGCAGGTTTGGGTCAATCGAAAAGTGGAGAGGGAGGAGCCGAAAGTGGAGAGAGAGGAGTCGGCGTTGGTCGGGCACAAGCAGATGATCGGAAAAAAATAAATAAAAATGGAGGGGACGGCTGTGCACAATCGGAAAGAAGGGAGAAAATAAATTTAGGTTGGGGTTGATTAGGGTTGATTAAGGTCCGATTTGGCCCAAATCATGAATTTTTACTTGGTTTTTTAATTGGTTGGAGGATTTCTAATGGGTTTAAATTGGTTTAGCATATATAAATGCCACGTGGAATAAAATATGCTGACGTGTTTGAAAAAAATGCCACGTAAAAGAGATTGTATTTTAACGCTCAATTTTGTGACTGAACATAGGTGTAAAAGATAAAAAAAATCAAATTAAGAAACACATTAAGTCTCAGGCAAAGTTGAAAGTTGATAAGTGGTTAAAATGAAAAAATTAAGTGGATATTTTATTATTTTTGTTTTTTGGAATAGTGGTGTTTCTTTTTTTCTAATCTTTTTAGTATGAAATTTGTTTCGTGTTTTGTTAAGGAAGAAAAACTTGCAGTCTACAAATTGTTTAGTAATTTTGCTTCAATCTTCACAAAATCTTACAAATATTTTCTTAAAATATAATCTCATTCAACATAACAATTACGTAACTTCAATGTATATATATATATAATAATAAGATGTAATTGTTTCATGTAAATCATAAGTAAAAGTTAAGCTTGTTATATGGATAATTAAAATATTAAATTAATTGGTCATAGTTGAAATACTTAATTAAATCTTCTGGTGTAATATTATCTATCTTTTTGATTTTATATTTCCAAATTGCAACCGTACAAAAAATAAAAGAAGAGTCAATCCCGTTCAAAGAATGGAAAAAAGAGTGCGAAGCCAGATCAAGGACGGAGAGATGGGCTACAATGGGCTTCAAAGCCCATATTCCCATTTCCATCTGTACAGACTGGACTACAATGTGCCATTCCACCAACTCGTTGGGTGCAAATTCTCCAAACTTCCTTCACATTCACATGCAAACTCATGTGACGATCCTTTTCCAACATGAAAATAAACTGAGTCAGCTCTTTATACCACGAGATTGGTTTTCTATCCTTCACTGATTCACACTGTCAAACTACGAGCTGCGCACGAAACCTTTCTCTCCAAACACTGCAAAATACATACTGAGCTCATTCTCAATCTGTTAGTACATAGTAATTCCTATTCCTCTCAATATACATGTATCATATATCTCTGGTATTATCGAATAAGAACGATGTAATGTATTACAAGCAAGTAATTTAATTCACAAGGTTACATTGAAAATATATTTTTTTCTTCAAGATAAAATATCTTACTTAAATAAAAAAGAATAATGATATAATCTTTGTTGCTAGCCCGAATTTAAGAAAGACAAAGCAGCTAAACTCCAATGCCACACTCGAGAATCACCACATCTGTAACTATACGCACTATTAGTTTATCATTCAATACCGCAATACTCAAAACTCCAAAAGTGCGATACATATCATTAGATTTAAATATATTTATTCTGGGTCAGATCAGATGACCACAAATTCTGCAAATATATAATTATCAAATACACGATTATTATTATAATATTTCCATTATTCTATATCATTATATATATGGTATAAATCAATTATCGAATAAAGAATCGATGTAATGTATTACCAAGCAAGTATTTAATCACAGGTTACAAATTGAAAATATATTTTTTCTTAAAATAAATATTCTTAAAAAAAAAAATGTCTCTATTTGTTTAGACCAATTGAAGAAAGAAGACAGTAACCAATGACCCAGAATACAATCTGACTTGAATTATTAGTTAAATTAAAAGAAATGCAATACTCAAAACTCAAGTGGATTATTAATTCATAATTTAAATATATTTATTTGTAATAATGAATAAAAATTGAATAAATTCATGTTCAAAATATAGATTATTATTATTTTCATTATTATTATTATCATTAATATATTGGAGTATTAATTTGTGACATGCAATTTGAGATGCAAAGGTGAAGAATCTTTATTTATTTATATTGATATAGAATCCACGTGGAGAAGTGATAGATACTTGAATAATTATATAATTAAACTGAAAGGTACCTTTTGGTTTGGTGGATATAATTTGATTTAGATAATGTTAATTTGGAGTTGAAATCCAATAGTTTTTTAAGGCAACAATTTGCCACTTCACTAGCAAAGCGAAGCCAAACATCACATCATCATATATTACTTACATCCAATTTAATAATATAAAAATTACAATTTGCACCTCCCAAAGTTCATTAATTAAACCCACACTGCTAAGTCCTTCCTTTCCTTCTACCTCTACTCTTAATAATTAAAGAAAAGTTAGATTACTGATTAATACACTCCAAATAACAAACAAACAGACAAACATCCCCTTCATATAATAATGTATGAAGAGAATATTATAACCAAATTAACAAATATCCTTCATAAACACAAACCCAAACCCAAACCCAAACCCACACCCAAACCCAAACCAACTCCTTCTTCTTTTCTTTCAATTCTTGATTTGCACGTGAATAAATTTCTCTTTTTCCTTTTTCAATTAAGCTCTTCCTGGGGTTTTTGGATCATGATGATTGTTTGCTCCAGTTCCTGGATAGTCTTGGCTTTCCAAGTCCATTCTTCCATTCATATCCCCTTCTATCAAATCAAGTTGCTCTTCTCCAAAATCCAAATCCTGACCTCAAGAAAATTGGGTTTAAAGAAAAAAATAAGTTTGTCAAATATAAGTTAAAGAAAGAGATGGGTATGCATGCTTTTTACCAATTCCTAGTTTAATCCTATCAAGAGATAAGTAACACCACAAGATGACATAAATATGTGGAAAATCTTGATCTTGTTTGATTTGGATTGGTTAATTCTTGTCAAACTGTAACATTTCTTGAGTGCAATTCTTTTTTTTTTTTTTTTTTTGTGCGTGTGTCATTATCAAATTTAATCCCAAAACTACAAAGGAATAGGGTAGACGAGAGAGCGACCATATGATGAGCACATTCTTAGGACACGATGGATGACACAAGGCTTTTCTCGTAGTGTGAACTTTGAGGCTTTCCCTGTCACAATTTTTTTTTTTTTTTTTTTTGTGCGTGTGTCAATTATCAATTTAATCCCCAAAACTACAAAGAATAGGTAGACGAGAGAGGACCTGAGTGAGCAAATCTTGGACCGATGATGAGGGGTTTTCTCGAGTTGACTTGAGGCTTCCTGTAAAGAAAATCAAAGAAATGCTGACATTGAAGCCAAATATATAATAACAAAAATTAAAAAAAGAAACCCAACTAAGTTACTTACTGGTCGTAGGGACTGCAAGAGAAGAGATGACAAAAGAGAAACCCAGAAAGAGAAGCAAAATCCTAGAAGAAAGAAAACCCATTTTTTTTTTTTTGAATTTGATCAAAGAGAATAGATATGTATATATATATATATATATATATATTACTAGATTTTAATATAGAGATGATAGATGTGAAAGGAAATCTGGTGATTGCAAGACACACAGCATGTAAGAATGGTGCTCTATATATATATACAGAGAGAGAGAGAGAGAGAGAAGAAACACACACATACATACGCACATGACTTTTTTTTGAATATGCAAAAGAATAAAAGGCAATACTCCTTACAAAGTCAACTTACCATTTCTCCTCTTTTCTTTCTTTTAATTTTTAGTTTTTTTTTTTTTTTTTTAAATCTTGGTGAGTTCCCACTTGCCTAACTTTATCTCTCTTCATGTCATTTTCATATCATCCAATGATTTTGTGCCAAAATATATTTTTTTTTTCCATTAATTACTATGTTATGGAGTCACTGCAATTAAACAATTACGATTTTAAATACAAATTACATTAAAATTCATTAATAATTAGTACGTTGAGGAAAGGAATAGAAAAGGCCATGGGTACATCACGTTGAGCAAATTTACGTAGTATTGCAAAGGAGATAGCATACACAAGAATATCGTGGTCATTGCATTTCACATTAATCTACAAATCTTCAATATGATGCTTAGATTAAAAAAAGAAAACTAATAAAAAAAAAAAAGAAAATTTCAGATATATTAAAAAATTGACAACTATAGAAAAAGAGGTAGCAGTGTAAAACATTCACGAGATGTTGTAAGTGTCACCCACAGTCTCAATCTTTATATTATAATGCTATGAAATTAATCCTTTTGGACCCACTCCGGTGCAATTTTTAATTCACATATTAATGTGTTTAAATAAAAGTTAAGTAATTAGTTGAAATCCAAATATTAATTGGGATGGATTAATGGGATTTTGCCAGGTGTATGCTTATGCACTAAACTCCACTTTTAGAGATGCAAATCTTTGTTTTCAATTCTCCATTTGTTTGCTTATCAATATCTTCATTCAAATAATTAGTTTTATAACGCCCGGATTTGCCAATGTGTCATCCAATTACCATTTCTTTTTTATTTTTTTATTTTTAATAATTGAGATCCTATGTATTTTGTTTATGGCTAATCTACTGTAATACTAAAAAATAATAAATGTTTAAAACAATTTTTTTGACGTAATAAATATTTTTGTTTAAAAAAAAAAAAAAGAAAAAACATCATTATTAGTAGGTGAGACTCGACTATTTATAAGAGTTCTCCAAAAATACTCCATTCCTGCTGCCGGTCAAGAGTTACTATCATTATTATAATAATTGATTATTGACTATTTTCTTTTATAATTTCCTTTAATTAATTAATTAATTACGTATAATTAGAGGAATGTAGAGGGAGAATAATAATTGAAGTAAAAGGTTCCAAAGATGGGGGCACACAATTGAGTTTGGGCGGTGGACAGACACTTGACATTCTAATTTGTCTTCTTACCATTTTTTTTTTTTTTTGTGGACCAGAACACACTTGACCTATCCTCAACATATTGTCCTGTATTACTCTTAATATAACCACTGATCTATCGCTATTTTCTCTCTTTGCGGAGCCTCCGTCTTAAGGATCTCTCCTCTTCCTATCCATCGTGGCCCTTGCCTGTCATAATTCAATCTGCGTTGCTGATACTCAGCTCATTAATTATTTTTTTTTTTTTTTGGTCTCTTAGGTTTCTTCCTATCCATGGGCTGCCTGTCATAATTCAATCTGTTGCTGATATATCATTAATTTAATTAATTCAAAAAATTGAAATTATTTTTTCAATATTTTTTTTAAAAATTAAATACATTTTTTAACAGTAGAACTTGCCAATTTTGAGGCTAAGCAGCCGACTGGTTCCATAGCTTTGGGACAAGTTAAATCAAATTTTAAAATAAAAATTAAGTAAAAATTGATATTTAAACCGAGTTGACTCGAATTGAACTAGCTCCAATTGGTTGATTTAATTGATTTTTACAAAATCGAGTTGACCAAAAAATTTCAATTTAAACCGAGAACCAATTTTCATTTTGGACAGACTATTGCGGTTCAATTTCTGATTCGGTTTGGTTAGTGTGTTTGCTCACCCGGGCTAACTCAATGCTATTTTCCAAATATTAAAAAGAATTATAGTTAGATAATCTATATATGTTCAATGGTACCACTTCTAGGAAAGAGAGTCACCTAAATCTTATCAATACAAATAGGTTATCCAAAAATAAATAAATAAACAAACAAACAAACAAAGAACACTCGAATCCAATTAGCAAACATTATATAGTCTCCTTTCTAATCTTTAATTCCTCTCTTATTTGCTACCACAAACATATTTGTGTTCTTACACTGATAGGTCTCAATCAGAAAGTGTCAATTTATAAGACATGAAAAAAGAAAAAAAAAATCAATTTAAATTAGCAAATTTAATTAACCATCATTATTATAGAATATATGCTTCAATGATTTCATTAAATATTGTATATGATTTGCAAGATTAAAGCCTACAAAAAAATCTCCATCAGATATCAACTCGTTACAAGTATACTCGAGATTTAGCTTAATTCAAATTTGAAAAATCGAATTTGATTTTATTCATTTGAAAAATGCCAAGCATAAGCTTGGATCGACTGGGATGTAAATGAATTAAGCATGAATTTAATAAATAATGTTAAGCTTATTGAATGAATTTAAAAGAGATTTTCTTTTCTTTTTTTTTTTAAAATATGATCAACTTGATTATTTTATAGCCCTACTTAAAACTATATCTAATTGTAAAATCTAGAATTTTTGCAACATTATATTATTTCAAGGAATCTGGCCATATAAAGAGTTGGATTAGAATTTTTTGCAACATTTATATTATTTCAAGGATCTGGCCATAATAAAGAGTTTGGTGTAACATCCTAGTGAGTTGAGTTGAGTCATTTCATTAGAGGTTAAGTTTGAGTTGGGTTTGGAATCCAAAACCTTGTTGGGGTAGAATGAGAGTTATAAGTGGGAGCTTGAAATGTGAATGTAAATGTTAGGACTTGCGTTCTACGTTTAAAACATACAGCTTAGGGTAATGAAGTTTGTAGCCCTTGTAAACACTTGGAGGTTACCAATTAGATATGTTACAGTAATACGACAGAACTCACTTCTTTAGAGACTACCCGTTCTATCAGTCACACTTTCTATTTTTCATGTTTTATCATTCTCTTCTTAACTTTCCCCACCCCCATTTCCTTCCATTGTCAACATAGTTTAAGCATTAAGTCACCTCAAGTAAGTAACATTCCTTGAAGTTATATTTATTCACTTCTTTAATTGACGTTATATTGGAGATGAGTTTATGAGAATTCTTGTATATTAGGAAGAAAGAAAGTTCAACAGTTGCAGAAAAAGAGAAGCTAAAAACAAGAGTCCCAGCCTTTTTTTGAAAAAGCCAAGGTTTGATATCTCTTGTATTTTCCCAATGAACTTTGCATGAAAAAACTTTAGTAATGGAGTGTTGTTCCATAGGAGAATTCTTGTGTAAGTAATTGTTATGGTATGAAAGAAGTGGGAGGTGTGGAAAACAGGGGATACAAATATAGGTGAACGAGTTGGGAAACAGAGTTTGCCCTAGAAATTTTACCAGCGCAACTTTTATCTTGGATCTTGACCCCCCAATTTAAAATGATGTGAAACTAGGGAATTGATCATAGAAGAGTTATTTGTTCCTCTAATGTGTTACCTTTACATGAACGTGGGCCTTTTGAATCATTCATGGAGTTGTATAATTGAAGTTATGGCCTAAAGAAACCACAGACCTGCAACAATCTTGGAACAACGTGGCGCGCATTCCCTGCGCGGTCTGAAGCAAAGGTTCCGCTGCGTCTCGCGACTTTCTCGCGCTCGCGACTTTCACATGCGCGATTCGCGATTTCCTATTGCGCGCTCGCGACTTGAGTCAGGTAGCTCTCTGACTCTCAATTGCACAACTCGCGCTCGCGAGGATCACATGCACGGTCGCAACTTTGGCCAGAAGCTCTCTGACTCTCAGTGTGCGCATCTCGCGCTCGCGAATCACACAAGCGCGCTCGCGACGTGTGCTGCGCGGTCGCGACTTGAGCCAGAAAACCCTCTGACTCTCAAATGCATTTCTTGCGCTCGCGAGGTTTGAAGACGCGCTCGCGACTTCTCTCTGGGAAGCATCTCGCACTCGCGACTTGGAATGTCGCGCTCGCGACTGATGCTTTGTTGCGCGCTCGCAAGGTTTGAAGACGCGCTCGCGACTTCTCCTTGGGAAGCATCTCGCGCTCGCGACTTGTCCCTGTGCGCTCGCGACTTGTGGTTTCATGCATTTTGGACTTCATTTTCCATACAATTACATTCCTTTGCTCAACATACATGCATCCAATCATTGTAAAACAAAAATATAATATAAGAACATGGATTCAAACAACATGTAAGCAAATTTTGGTATCAGAGCAAATCAATATGATGAACTATGACGTTGTGAAACCATTTATGTGCTATTGTGTTACATTGTTGACATGCTAATCTTAAGCTCCATTGAGGTTAGGTGTAGATTAAGGCGTATGTCAGCGAACAATTAGCAATAGCAGATCTGCGCCCCATACAGTTTGGAAAACTCCGGCCCTACAGTGCCGTTGAGTGGATATGATTAAACCGCGTTGAGTGGATATGATTAAACCGTGCGGTGCAAATCCGGTTAGGGGCACCAAAACGGACAATATTGGCATAGGCGAATCCGGTTTGGGGCCTATGGCATACAATTTCATCCAGTTTCATACAGTTTATCTTATCACTTCGGTTTCACTATGACCTTATGGAGCCATACAGATATCTTGACATAACATTTCATGAATCATACAGTCTACTATACAGCAAGAAAGATTATCAAGATAAAATGAAAATATCATGATCTGTGTGCTTACATTCCATATGTAAGTACATGTTTATTTCTACATATGTATGTGCTTATATGTTTCTATGTTTCATTATTCATTGTAATATTCACTGAGTTTAATCAGAGTTGCAGAATTCATACAACATAAAGAACATCAGGTAAGATCATGAACGTATATTGTTGTATATGCTTACACGTTTAATTATTGCTTCTGTAAAGAGTCATACAGTCATGAGATGTTATTAATCGTAATTTATATGATGTGACTAAAAGTGCATAAGTCATACAG